CAATCTAAACCTCTCCTGGCACAGCTTCAGACGATTTCTTCTTGTCGTGTTACTAGTAACCTGGGAGAAGAGACCAACACCCACCTCATTCCAACCTCCTGTCAGGTAGTTGTAGAGAAGAACGTCTACCCCCTTAACTTTAACTTCTCCAGACTAAACAACCCCAGGTCCTTCAGCCACTCCTCACAAGCCATGTTTCCCAGAGCCCTCACCAGCTTTGTTGCCCTTCTCTGGATCCACTCCAGCACCTCAAGGTCTTTCCTGTGCTGTGGTTCCCAGCCTCCCTCAGAGGTGCTGTTCCCACGGTGACACCTGAAAATACTGTTTAGTCCCTGAGGCCTGTACCTTGGGCTTCAGCCAAACCCAGACTGCCCGTGACAGTTGAGGGGTTGACAGTTGTCAGGCAAGCACCTCAAGACTTATAAGAGGGGACAGACGTCCTGGCAGCAACCCTCTGTTTTTGGTCTCTTCTTGGGCAACACCTGGTTGGCAGATCCTGGCGTGGAGCTGCTGCAGAACAACCCCTGCCTGAGCGGGTTCATCGCCTCCGTGCTGGCCCTGCCAGAGCCCAGTCCAAGCATCCTCTCCTTCACCCTGCGGCTAGCTGGGCTACTGGCCTCTTCCCAAAGCCGCTTCCAGCACCTGCAGGTGAGTTGGCTACCCAGGTACTGCTGCCACATGTGCTTTCTCCTTCTGTATGGAGGACACCTGAAAGCATACATACTCTGCTTATAAAACTTCCAGCGTACATTGAACAACCCAGCAAACAGTAATATGATGACAAAGACCTGCACTCAGACCTTTCCTTCTCAGTTCCCATGTAAAGCTGCTGGCTTCTGACCTCTGTCCTGCCACAGCAGCACTGTGAGTGCTAATGTGTGGTGCTTCTCACGTTCAGTTCAAAACACTACGTGGGATGACTCTCTCACAGCACTCCCTGCAAATTATTGTACCCCTGGACAGACCCTGTAGGTTTAAATGGCACTAAAAGTTGTAGTTTTGTCTCTGTAGTAGCTTGACTGGAAATCTCATAGTCCCTGAAAAAATGAGGGAGTTTTTTTAAAGCCCTGCTTTCTACAATGGAATTTGTTTATAGTACAAAACTCAAACCCTGGGAGGGAAGAGATGCATACAGCTGCATAAATCAATCTAGTGGAACCAATATATACATAATTTGTTGCTAGCATCTTAAAAAAACAAGTGATTTTGGGTTTGAACACCTCTATTGCTTAGTCTGTTACAGAGCCATACATTTTGTTCAGCACGGGATCCTGAAAATTTCCTACTCCTACCAAGAGAACGTCTCACTGCAGTGTTACTAC